AGAATGAAGCGTTAAAGCAAAGTTCTATCCTTAGTGATAAAAGAAAAATACATTGTGGGTATTAATCATGTGAGCAAAAAATTAACCATGCCCTTGCTATCAAAGTAGGGTCTTACCTTTTCCCGGTATAGAGTACGGTAGTAGACTTAATCCATCCACGACTGGGAAGACATAAATCAACACTAATCTTCTCCAAGTCATGAGTTGTGAGATTTTTAATGAACTCTGAATGTTCACACTAGACCTCATCAATGTGACGGAGAAATGTCACCATCTGATTTAATATCAAGGGAATCACCTAGAAGTAACCAGATCTCCTCAACGAGAAGGGAATCTATCGTTTCCAAAGTCAAATTATCACCAGACAATCATATTTTCTCAATGAGAAAGAACAATGTTTTCTTCATATGCACAGTCTTGCAAATACGACTAGTCGTCCTTAACACGAAGAAATAATGTTGTTAACAAATCCAAAATTCTCAAATGAAGTGTCAACTTATCAAACAACTTTTATACTTCCTCAACACAAAGGAACAAATCACTTATGTCCTTTGAGATTGCTTCTCTTGAAGCAAATTTTCATCTTGCTTATCACAATTACCCTTGTAACAAAAAATTTTTGCCTCACTAGATGTAGTTTTATCTCAAAAGCAAAAATTTTATCTAACATGATATAATTTCTTTTGAAATCAATTTTTTTCTCTTATGACAATTTCTTTTCAAACCCAAAGCATCGACATCTTTTCTCTTAAAATAAATTTTGTCTTGCTTAAATTTATTTCTTTTGAAAGTGCAACTTCTGACGTTATAAATTTCAATCTTTTGAAATTATTTCCCTTGAAATAGAACTTTGAAAAAACCTCTCTTGAGATAAAGATCATTTTCAATCTCCCTTGAGACAATATCAAATTTAAAAGAAAAAGATGCAACCAAAAGAAATTGTTGTTTGGTTGTTTTTGCCCTATTCGTTTCTTCACATTAATAGGCAAAGAGGAGAAGATGTTGACACCATTTTTCATCCAACATTGTTGTTGTTTTTGTTGTTGTTGTTGTTGTTGTTATTTGCATTTTTTGCTGGTCCAACCGAGACCCAAACAACAAGCCCAGCAATAAGTAGATCCAATTTCATTAAAAGCCAAGACCCAAAGCCCAACAACAAGTCGAAATGACAAAAAAAACAACTAGGGTTTGAAACCTAAAGGTTTCCAGCTCCCACCGTCAACGTCGGAGCCACACTACGTTGCCACCTCTACCGAAGCCACTCCCATTGTCGTCAACTACGATCATTGTTCCTCCATCATCACCTCTACTGTTTCAAAAACAACAACAAAACAAATAAATTAAAAAAATCAATCAATCCACCAAACACCAAATTTTCCTCACCAAACACGCCATCATCATCATATATGACATGCAACAACCGATTAATAGAGGGAGGATTTTCAAACCAAAAGGGACTAGGGAGACAGTTGGAAAAAAAATTGCAAAAAATAGTAAACACTTCAAGAAAAAAAGAGACAACAATAAAATCTTAAAAAAAGGGGCTTACCTTTAGTTGAAACCATTGTCATTTTCTTCGATAAAAAACAAAACCTTCGTAGCTCTAAGGTATTTTCTTTAAAAATCCTTTATATTTAAAGTTGTGTATGGGAGAGATGACAACTATTTTTTGTTTGGATTTATAAAACGTCAGTAGGATATGAAAACTTGAAAAGGGTTAGGGCTCTTTAACCCTGTTTTTGATTATATACGCGCATGAAAACAAGGATGTTTAGGGAGGGATTTGCATGTTTTCATGAACGGGCTAATAGGCCAACAAGTCCTTGCACTACTTGTAATCTTGTTATTTAGCCATGAAACAATTTTTCCTTTTTACTTTGAGCCTTAAATTTTCCCTTCATTTTATTTTATTATCAATTTGTTCTTTGTTATATTTTTATTGCTAATTTACAAATCATTCATTTTGATCAATGTTTAGGTTAGCTTGGTTTATTTGCATGTTTAATCCTTGACATTTCCGCTATGTTATGGTTTAGTACTTATTTAAGCTATTGATTGATGTATTTAATCCTTGTCCTTTTTATCTATTTCATTATAGTCCCTATACTTTTAATGTATTTATATATTATATTTTAAATAGTATTTTAACCTACTTGTGAATATCAGATATTATATATATGTGTGTATGCTTGTGTGGTATTATATATACATGTATTTTATCAAAGGATACTTTTTTAGGATACTTTATTACATATGTATTTGAATTGAGTAAAAAAAATGGGGAAAAATAAGTCATTTTAATGTTTTTAGTTTTTACAAGATTTCTCGTTGTTCAACTAAACCATGGAAGACCTCCAAAAATATGGGGTGCCCTTCCGAGGGTTGTTTGAATAAAATGGATTTTAATATTATTTGTTATTTATTTATACTATATGATGTATTAAATCAAATAAACTTTAATTTTTTGTAAATATAAATATTGGTTGCATCATTTTTTATCATTTGTTATGTTTGATATTTCATTCATTTTGTACATATAGTTTATTTCAGTTGCATTCATCATCAATTCCTTTGTTTTCTCATTTTCAAAAATAATTGAAGACAATGCTTTCGTACGTTTTGCGTTAATGGAATTGCGTCCAACATAACTAGATTTCAATTTATGTTAATTCACGTAGCAAATGGGGACATCCTTTTTTTTTAATAAAATCAGGTAAATTAAATATTTTTCATTGAATCAACTTTTTAAAAAGAAAATCACTCATTTTTAAATTCAACGAAATAAAAGGATCGTAATATAAATTTTGATTTTGAATATATAAAATTCCACTACTTAGACAATGTATAACCGAACGGTACCAATTGTGGGTGTTGTGGGGGTGCTTACCATTGTCCATACGTAATCGACTCCCAAATCATTAAAAATGAATTTATGGTTAAACACATGTCAATTGTTTTCTTTTTTAAATGATTTTTTCTTAAATATTTGTTGAAAAACATTTTTAGGTATTCTACCTACCTAACCCAAAGGTCGATGACGACTCCAAATCCAAATTTCAAAATAAATAAAACCCAAAATTTTCAAAATAAAATCATAATTATTTTTAAATTAAATAATTTATAAAAAAATGGTTATGACAGTATGTAATTCACCTTGAATTTTTCCTTCTCGGTTAACTCCTTCATTGTCACAACATTATTCGCAACAATATTCATGTTGTGGCATTTATCCCATTGCTCCTGCACGAAAACATCAATAACATCCATAGAATAGTATTCAACATTGACATCCACGTTTAAAACATTATTCAAAACATTGAAAATAATATGTTTATCGATTAAATGCATTGCAAGTTCTCAATTTTCAACATCTATTAAAGTTTGGCAAGTAGCGAGGAATGGTCACCAAGTATGATAGAGACATCCTTGTCAGCTTTGCAATCCAATATGATGAAATCCATGGGAAAACTAAACTTGTCCACTCGGACTAGCATATTTTCAACAATGCCACTAGGATATACAATGGATCTATTAGCAAGTTGTAAAGTCACAATGGTGGGTCATACTTCTCACTTCCAAATTTTCTAAAAATTGACAATGGCATTAAATTAATGCTAGTATCTAAATCACATAATGATTTTCCTACAAATTGATCACCAATAATTCAAGGAATAATGAAACTCCTTGGATCCTTGAGTTTAGGTGGTAATCGACTTGTTGCCATAGCACTTCATATTTGATGAGTGCAACAATTTCGAATTCTCCAACCCTTCTTGCATGGTCTTTATGTAGATCGGGTTTTTCTCAAATGTTTTAATCAACATAATGTTAATTTTCAATTGCCAAAGTATATCCATAAATGCCTTGCATTATTGGTCCTCCTTAGTCTTCTTGAAACTTTGGGTAAATGGCGATAAAGGCCTTGGAATCAGCTATCTTGGCATTGATGTTACCACTTGTGGTAGTAATGTTGGTGTTACTGTTGGCAATGGCCAAAAACTACAACACTGCCTTATTTCTCTTACTGTAACATCAATATTTGTTTTCTAAAGTTCCACTTCCATTTCTTCACCCTTATCTTTTTGTCCATACCTTTCATCATCTTTCCTCTTAGGCTCCTCAACAGTCTTCCAAATATGAAGATTGCTTCTAGTAGTGATGGATTTACAATACTCAGTACAATGAGCTTTCCCTTTTGGCTTAATATTCTCAATATCACTAGGCAGTATTCCTTGCTGTCGATTACTCATAGCATTGGCTAACTGTCCTACTTGATTTTTTAAAGCCCTTAGCGATGCTAATTGACTTTGAATTAAAGCTTCATTCCTTTAATTTGTCACCTTAGTTCTTGACATGAATGCTTTTAACCATGTCTCAAGAGATGTTGAAGATGAAGCTTGGGTTGAGTGTTGCCCTTGATAGTTCTAACGTTGTTGCGGTTGAGTTGTTTGGTGTTGTGGATGATGCTGATGATTGTAATGTATCTGCATATTTGGTAGAAACACCATATTGGGATTTGCAACATTTTGTCTTCTCCAATATAAATTTTGATAATTAAGGAAGTTGGCGTTGTACGTATTATCATGTGCATTGGTGTTGTCATTCTAATTGTAATTCCTTACATGGTAGATAGATTCATGATTTTTTGGGCATTCCTTATAATTGTGGTTATCTCCACAATAAACACATGAAAGAAGAGATATAGTTTTTACCTTATACATGCCCTTTAGTTTTTGTAACTTCTTCATCATACCTATCAATGTTGTTATTTGTGAAGTCATTGAATTCAAGGCATCAAAATCTATTGTTGTAGCATTGTGTCTGCCAAACATGTTCCTTGTGTTGGGATATTGATAATCATTTTTAGATATCTTTTCTAAAATATCATATGCTTTATTATCGATTTTATCCAACTGTTCTCCATTTGCAAAGGCATCAACCACCATATGTGTTTTCATATTCAAACCATTATAAAATTTTTCCATCTACGTCCAATGCAGAAATCATGCATTGAACATTTACGTGGCAAATCCTTAAAATGTTCTCATACTTTGTATAAGTTATCATCTTCCAAATGCTTAAAGGATTTTAAATCATTTCTGATCTTGGCATTCATATTGGACGGATTGAATCTCAATAGAAATTTTGGTGATAATTTATTCCATGATGCTATAGCACCTGATGACAGACAGTTAACCATGCTCGAGCCTTGTCAAGCAAAGAATAAGGAAACAATTTCAATTTTAAAGCTTTTTTGGGTACTCTTTGCTGCACAAACAAGTCACATACTTCCATGAATGCTCTAAGGTGTGCTCTCAGATCTTCAGGATATGAACCACTATATTGCCCCATTAACTACAGCATTTGGAACATCATTGACTTCAACTCAAAATGGGCAGCATGAATGGTTGGTCAGACGATGTCAGGATTCAAGTCATCCAATATTGGTACAATGTGGTCCTTGATCAATCAGTTGCAATAATCATTGTTATAATATTGTGGCTAGTTTACTTCATATCCATCCGACAATTCATTTTCATCTTCATATTATAATAGTGGTAAAGAATTGTTACCATATCCAACATTCATGTCAGCTCGAATATGATTAGCTTCTCTTTGACAGTGGAAAAATGTTCGTTCTATTTCTGTATCAAAAGGTTGTAGTTCGTCTTCATTGCTTCGGGAAATACACTAGCACTCTAAACTATGGAAAGAAATAGGCGCCCTCAAAATAAAATAAACAAATGAATACTAAAAATATAACTATAATGCAAAACCATTGCTCCTCGTTAACAACACCAAAAATTTGATGCTACAAAATTGTTATAGCATTCAACATAAGTATATGTGTCATGAATCAAGTAATAAAGTGGAAACCTTAAGAGTTTTGAGTGTTGGACCCACAAAGATAAATATTTAATCACTAGAGAATTGTTTGAGAAGATAAATGCTTGGAAACGCCAATAGACAAAATTGTAGCAAAGGTAAAATTTAGTATAATGAAATGACAGGTTGTGCTTGAGCATTTAAAGAGCACTAGATTGAGGCTTAAATGGATTTAGATGATAATTTATAGCTTCTACTATGATCATGAATAAGATTTCACATTCATGTGTTAAAAAATTATTAGTAATGTTTAATCAATAGAAATTAACCATCATTAACTCAATTAATTAAACAAGTAATCTTGTTTAACAATGACTACATACATGTCAATACACTAAATTGCTTCTCACATGTACCAATGTTTGATAGAAGATGAAGTAATCTCCAAAAATATTTACTTCTAAATAAAATAGATAGAGCAATGAATAGGATACTTTTACTTTTAAAAATACCCATTGAAGTTTAACAACACATAAAAGAAAAATAAAGCATAGATCATAACAAAAACAATTACACATACACATGATATTCATAACCAAATAAAATCCTAACATTTTAATTAAACATCCAAAGTTAAATTGCTAATTCCCTATCTCAATGGAGTAAAAAAATAAGAACAGATGTTACAAATCATTATTGCAACGCGGTAATGCTTCCTAACTGTTGTAGCACTCCTTAGTGGTGGACTTAGGCATCCATGGCTTGATCAGATGATTCAAGGGCGGAGAAAATATTGAAAGATGAAAAATTGGATGGATGTAATGGTGTGAGAGCCTCCACTATTTATAAGCTAAAGGAATCAAACTTCACCCAATGATATTGCTCCATGTATTGAATGAAATGCAACCATTTGACAGTTGCCCAACCGGTTGTCCCATTTTAGAAAATTTCAATAAATGCCTATGACATCAGCATTTGCTTCCATCTTTCCTCCTTAATCAAATTAGCAGTGTTTCATAGCATCCTACGACAAAGAGTAATTCCACAACATAAGTGTACTAGAATTTAGTGTTAACAATCAATTTTAGCCAAAGTTTCCCAACCCTTTCTCATGATACAAAATGTATAAAAATATATACAAATGTTCCTTATTATGCTTTTAATAATGCTTAAGCTCAAGTTTATACTATTTAAAAAGTAGATATATGATAAATCTTTTTTAGTGTTATTAGACGGCATATTGATGTTGGAAAATTATTTTTGTTGAGTTATATGCATGTGCACAAAACACCTCTAGATATTTATTTATTTTTCCTTAATCATCTCACTGTTCAAACAAGCACAAGTGGCTACTTTGTCCCCTGATCAGGTTTTAGAAAACTAGAGTGATGTTACACTAGCCTTCATCAAAAGGACAATGCATCATGATGGGTTTAAACTAGAGTAAAAAGATGAGGATGCTGTTGCGAATATTGTTGAATATACCCCCCTGTACCACAAGTTAACCCTACCAAGAGCTGCAAAGTACTCTGACAACCATTGTAACAAGACATGAGGGTATCTTTTCAATGCTGAGTCATGCACTGCAAAATAAATTCCAAATGCATTATGCTAAAATTCAATATTGGGAATACGCGTAAGAACATGACAGAGAATTCCAAAAGGTGATAGTAAAGAAGTTCAAAAAGTCGGTGGTCATGTTCCCAGCTTTTCCAACTAAAATATTTGAAGGCTTTAACCTCATCAAAAATGCAGAATAATGAGGATAGTTCTAGTACCATTGAGGATGAAGAGACGAAGACTAAAGAGAAAGATATTACCAAAGATACTGAACCAGAGCAAGATGATGCTGAAAAGAATTTATAAAAAGAAGACTGATGAGGACAATGAGGATGCTTCAGAGGCATCTACTGAAGTACTTGCTACAAAATTTGAGGATGTCAACATAATGGAAGTCGACAAGGAGCAAACTAGCCTCCCTGATGAGGAACAAAGTCTGGAATCAAAAGAGAGCCCAGATAAATAAGCTACGAGACAATTGCTAGATTTAAGTGATGATAAGGTATTCATGATGTTGCAATAGTAGACGAGCAAGACTTGGTTACTGAATAGATTATCAGTAATGTAGTCAAGGCAATAGAAAAATGAGCTAAAGCTAATATACCTAAGGATTTTGCTACGGGGAAGATTGGAAACGCTATGGGACAACCAAAAGAACAAAAGATAAATTCACCTACACCCATTCCAAAAGAGACATATGCTGTTGTTGTTGAAATTCAAAGATCAAAAGCAGCCAACAATTTGGCAGCAGTCGGCTGCTTGAAATTTTGGGGGAGGCTAAATTTTTTATTATTTTGTAATAGGTATAATTACAAAATTGAGTCATTGAACTTTAGGGTATTTTCAAAGATTAGTCCCTAAGTTTCAACTATAAATACCCTAGCTCATTTAGCTTCAAAATCATCCCAAAAAATTTCTTTCTTCCTATGCTTTCTTGTGAGTAGTGAGTGTTTTGTAAACACCTGTAAATTTTCTCTCTTAGTAAAAGATATGCAGCAGCCCGGAGACGTAAGCAAAATTGGCTGAACTCCGTTATCAATTTCGGGTATTATTTTTCCGCTTTTATTTTGCATTCTCACTAATCTGGTTATAGGGAAATTACTTGTTCTCGTTTATTTCCCAACAACTGGTAATCAGAGCTTTTGGTTATGAATTTTATCAATTTTTTGCGAGGTTACTATTCACATGAATAGTGAATTTCATGAATAGTAAAATTTTGTCGGCGATACAAATTTGTCGACGGAGGTGTTTTAATACACGGTGGTTCGCAAGAATTATCAGAAACGATCCAAACGAAGCCAGATTCGAGTGGGAGCGATGGCTGCAGACGAAGGGAAGGTGAAAATTGAAAAGTTCGATGGTGCGGACTTTGTCTTTTGGAAGATGCAGATCGAAGATTTTCTGTACCAAAAAAATCTATATGGGAAAGCAACCAGAGAGCATGAAGAATGAAGATTGGGCTCTTCTCGACAGACAAGCCCTCGGAGTTATCCGACTGACGTTATATCCGACTGACGTTATCCCACAATGTTGCTTTCAACATAGCAAAGGAAAAGACCACGGCGGGTCTTATGGTGGCTCTCTCCAGTATGTATGAGAAGCCATCGGCCTCAAACAAAGTTCACTTGATGAAGCGATTATTCAATTTGCGGATGACGGAAGGGGCATCAGTGGCTCAACACATGAATGAACTCAACACAATCACAACCTAGTTGAGTTCAGTGGAAATTGAATTCAATGATGAAGTTCGAGCTTTAATTCTCTTATCATCTCTACCAGACAGTTGGAATGCTACTGTTACAGCAGTTAGCAGCTCGTCGAGAAATAGTAAATTGAAATTCGAAGATGTTCGGGATCTGATACTGAGCGAAGAAATTCGACGGAGAGAATCGGGTGAAACATTAACCTCCTCAGCCTTGCACACGGAGTCCAGATAAAGAACTTCAGAAAGAAATTCAAATCGTGGCAGATCCAAATCTAGAAGGGGAAAATCAAGAACAGGAAAGAAAGATTCTACATGTTATAATTGTGGCAAGAAGGGTCACTTTAAAAGAGACTGTCGAGCACTGAAGAAAGATATCGGCGCACAGGAGTCTGTCAACATGACAGAGGAGACAGGTGATACCATGATTCTAAGCGTCAACAGTCTGATTGAATCATGGATCTTGGATTCAGGGGCATCTTTCCACTCCACATGCCAAGAAATCATTGAGAACTATGTTAGTGGTGATTTTGGGAGAGTTCATCTAGCTGATGATGAAACCTTGAAGATCGTCGGGAAAGGAGACATCCGACTAAAGCTGCCAAACCATACCACCTGGAAGCTTACAGGAGTGAGACATATTCCTGGCCTCAAAATAAATCTGATTTCTGTTGGACAGCTTGATGGAGAAGGATATAGTACAACCTTTTCAGGCTGTGAATGAAATATTACCAAAGGAGCACTCGTCATTGCTCGTGGTAAGAAGACTGGTACTCTCTATGTAACCTCAAATTTAGAGAATATCATTGCTACAACAGATGTTGATGGAAAATCAAACCTATGGCACCAAAGGCTTGGCCATATGAGCGAGAAAGGGATGAAGACACTTTTGTTAAAAGGGAAGCTACCAGATCTAAAGAATGTAGATGTCGGACTATGCGAGAATTGCATCTTTGGCAAACAAAAGAAAGTCAGCTTTGCAAAGATTGGTAAGACACCCAAGGCTGAAAAGCTAGAGT